GAGTAAGTAAAGAGATGACAGAATTAAAGTATAGGGACATATTGTTTACAAAATTAAATAGTTGACTTTTATATTGTCACTGGAAAATCCAAAGCAACACATTTACTTTGTAGTATGCCATTTTCCTACCCATTAGACATACAACAATGAAAAAAAATATTTCAGTTCAGAATAATTTGTACAGCACTTTTAACAGCGAATAATCTTTAACATAATCAATATAATTAACTTCATCTTTATTATAATCTACATCAAAATTAACATTAAATATTGACTGCCCTAAAATACATGTTTTATATTTGTGGACCTTTCCATGGACCCTCTAGTCTAGCATATCCCTGCATCCCCAAAAGCATCCCCATAATTTAGACAATATTTTTTATAAGTCAGAAATTATATTTTATTGTCATTATTATGAAAGTACAGAGCTCTTCTAAAGCAACTAAGGAAAAGATTACAGAGAACCGCCCAGATTCCTTAACTAAGGGGACCTATCTAAAAAGCAGTGGGTGCAGTTTATGAACCTGTGAGTACAAATGACAAAATTGAGGTTATTGATTGTTAAATCGAGGTTACAGTTTGTGAATCTGTGGGCACTGATTACTGAATTTCATAATTCAGAGAGAAACCTGATGGGGCGTTGATATATGTCTAGCGAGAAAGCAGGTGCAGGCAGCAGGGTGTCCGGGCGGCTGCTGTGTGCTGCTCACCCATGCTAACTGTCAAACACATGAGAAACGAGCTCATCCTCAATATTGGGCATGCCATAATTAAGCCCTAACCCTGTCTGAGAGGATTTGTCAAAGTTGAAATGGAGGGTGGCCTCTTTCGCATTCCCTTTCTTTCAATCGCACTCCTCTCTCTCTCTCTCTCTCTCTCTCTCTCTCTCGGTCTCTAGTGGCTAATCAAGTTGAAGCTCTTAGGCAGATTAGTGCTTCAGTCCTGCCTCTCTGATGTCCTTCAAATTTGCAAGCACATGCATGAGTAAAGAGACCTGAGGCAATGCATCCTGTGATGGTATCTTTTAATGAATGGTTTGGAGTATGAGGATTTTGGTAAATCTTTTAATGCAATGCTGATCAATTCTGTGGGAATTGATTATTGGGTTGAACCAGGATCTTGGTTTAAGGCTGAGCAGTTGAGCATCTTGTAAGAAGTTTGCACCTTTTAAATTTTCGATGATGTGCACAGAGTGTTCTCTGTGAGTTAAAGAAACAGTTCACCCTAAAATGAAAATTCTGTCATCATGTTGTTCCGAATCGGTTTGAATTGAATAGAACACAAAAGGAGAAATTTTGAAGGCATTAACTGGATACTCTTGTCCATAAAATTACACTGAAAAAGGACTGGAGGTTTCAAGCCTAAAACAAAAGGTTCATACACTTTTATATTAAATTTAGGGGTGCTATGTTTCAAGTCCACCAAAGTCATATCATACCTTCAGATGAGAAACTATGGAGCCAGATCGGCCTCAAAAATAATACATTTATAAAACAAAATTCATAAATGCACAGCACAATTTACATTTACAAAATCCGATTTGTAAATTCAAAACACAATTCATAAATACAGAAGTAAAAGCATAAATATTTCCCCAAATGCTCACACAAAAGCATCTTACCTAAATAAATAAATTCAAAGCAGTCCACGCATGTGTGATGATTTGCAAATGCAGATTCAACGATCCATAAATACATGTAACATCATTCATAAATGTGTGATGGAAATTAATTCAAGAACTTGATATATACATATCTGTGTAAACATTTTACATTTATTTAGGTAAGATGCTTTTGTGTGAGCATTTGGGGAAATATTTATGCTTTTACTTCTGTATTTATGAATTGTGTTTTGAATTTACGAATCGGATTTTGTAAATGTAAATTGTGCTGTGCATTTATGAATTTTGTTTTATAAATGTATTATTTTTGAGGCCGATCTGGCTCCATAAGAAACAAACAGAAATTATTCACTAACAATCTTCCCCTCCAGTGAACTCCAGCGAGTTCCAGAGTCTGATTCATTTATGAATCATTCAGAATGATTCTTTGAACTGGATCAACTGAATTATTAAAAAGATCTGGCTCAAATGGATGATTCTTTCATGAAACTTGAAATTCTGTCAAAAGGCTGTAAGGCCTCAATGCAACATCTCCATCACTCACTAGTGAAACTTGGAACTAACGGACCTAATTTAGTCTGTACACCTAATTACATTTCATTATCTATCATGGACCTGTGGCCGTATTCTCTAATACTCTATTGATACTTCTATAAAGAAATGAGAGGAGCGATAGAAGCAGTGTGTAATTCTCATTCTGTGTTATCATACACATGCTAAGAATTAATCCGAAGCCTTTGGGCTATGAATTATGGAGCTGGAAAATCACTGCAGATGATTTGCATTAGCGATCTGGTGGAGGGCTAGAGAGATATTTTGACCAGAAATAGCTGAAACCCAAATGTAAACCTGCTTGAAACAGTGATCACTAAAATAGCACATACAGTCTAAAATCATCCTGTCAACAATATAAGAGTCACATTGATTCCCTGCTATTTGGCACATGCATTCTCAAACTTCTCCCTCAAATACTTGAGAGTGCTGTCACCAAGGCAACATCATTCAGCAGCAGGATGAGGTTAAAGGGCAACAGCAAAGAAGTGGGAACAGTGGGTGCCAGGGATGGCGTGGTGCTATTCGGCTATTGAACAAATTATTTGGATTTGCAAGATACAATGAATGTAATTGATTCTGACAGATGTAGAACCAGTTCAAATAGTTCTCTATTTGCAATTTTAATTAGACGATCTCCATTTCTGTCCTTCCTGCACACACATTTCATGAAAAAAGTCTCATGTCTATTGAAGCAATAGGATCATGTCACATCTCTTTCATACAATAGGATAGCAGGTCCAAGTTAATATATGGCAAGGTTTTATTTTATCTCTTCAATGCAGTCCACTAAAAGCTAAATCTTTTTCTGATCCAGATTCAATTTTCTTTTATAATTTTGCCTTTAATAAACCATCACAAAAAATGTGTATTCACAAATGTATCTCAATTTTAATGAAACTAGCTTAACAAATAATACAATTTATATAAAATTAAAAATGTTGGCAACTAACTGAAATACACAAGTTAGTTAACTCCTAAAATGACAAAAAATAAAAAATAAATTACAGCTAAATAATATATTATTTAAAAATATATATTTAAAATATATGTTAAAAAATGTGCTATTGCCATTTTATTAGTTTTTGTCATATACACAGTGGCATTCAAATGTTTGGGATCAGTAAGATTTTTTAATGTTTTTTAAAGACGTTTCTTATGCTCATCAAGGCTGCATTTATCTGATCAAAAATACAGAATTTTTACAGAATTATTTATTTTTTAAATAAAAAAAAACAGTTTTCTATTTAATATACGTTAAAATGTAATTTATTCCTGTGAAGCAAAGCTGAATTTTCAGCATCATAACTCCAGTCTTGAGTGTCACATGATCCTTCAGAAATCATTCTAACATGCTGATTTATAATCAATGTTGCAAACAGTTGCTTAATATTTTTTGGGACCTGTGATACTTTTTTCAAGATTCTTTGATAAACAAAAAGTTAAAAAGAACAGCGTTCATTCAAAATAGAAATTTTGTGTTACAATATACACTACTATTCAAAAGTTTGGGGTCAGTACATTTTAAATTTTAACATTTTTAAAGACTAATATTGTTAGAAAAGTTTTCCATTTTGAATAAATGCTGTTCTTTTTAACTTTTCATTCATCAAAGAATCAAACATTTACAACATTTTTGTACATACTAAACAAATAATACTAAAATAACACTACAGCATAAAAACAAAGGCTAAACAAAGTTGTATACTAGAATTTTATGTAAACTATATCTGCCTATGTAGAATCTGCTCGTAAATACGCTTTAAAATCTGCGTGTTTATACACCAGAAAGCATCTATCCATGCAGTAGCTGTTTATGATTCCTGTCAGAGAAATAATCAAAGCATAAACTAATTCATAAGACTGTCGTCTTGAAGCACATTGATGCTGTGAAACTCACTGCCAACTCTAACTGACAGGTCCAATATGTCCATGACAGATGGTAATGAGCAAACAGATAAATAAATAACGGCTAGGGAGCGTACGAACCTCAAATCTTCTGTGGTTAACATTTTACGCTGGAGAGGCACTGGTGTGCAACCTAATACAAAATGCCACGTCAAGACGTATTCCCCACAGATTGATATTTCAGATGAATTTCCTGCTCCTCGTCACAGAAGATTAGCCAAGCCAGGTCTTGGTTGATCATACTGGAATTATCTGGAGTGGCGGCTAATTAAAAAAATGGCTTGACCAGTCACTCTTTACACACAAATCAATAAGCCATCAAGCTATTATTACACGCATATCATGTGTCCCGTTTATCATGCGAATTTATACAAGTACCTGTCATTGGGTAAGCTTTTAATAATGTCCCTACTGTGATAATAGAAATGTAAATGATTTAACAGAATATTTTGGGTTCAATACAAGTTAAGCTCAACTGACAGCACTTGTTACAAAAAAAATTAATATTGTAATTTTAACCCTTCTTTTCTTAAAAAGAAAAAAAGCTGGGTTACAATAGTGTTTTTATATAATCATAACCTGTAAATTCCTATTCTGTTAAGTCTTCTGTAAGTACAATATTGCACAAGACTGTGACACAGCATCTTTTTCATTACATAATGCTGGACTGTTGCATAGTTGCCTTATAGGTAAATCCTGTCAGCAGACTGACTGTACCCTGGTCAAATGAGGCACAGTAATTTAAAGAGGAGATTAAAGTGTATATTCACGTTGGACCTGGACTGGTGCCACCGGTCTTATGACAGATTAATTCTGCACTTTGGAGAGAAGTGGCTATAACAGGCTTCAGATGCTTTTTTTCTCTCACACATGAATGGATGCATGTTGGTTCAGAAATCTCACACACGACTCGGCTCACCTTTGCTAGATGAGAGTTGATCCATTTTGTGAATGTTCGCTTCTGCACAGCTTCCTGCTCGTCTAAAGGAAAAACAAAACACACCAGAATCCTGAGTAACAAAACTGATCTTAAATCTTAAACAAAACATGAGACACTACTATATCACCCATCAAGAATCACAATAAAAGACAGTTCTTTCTTTTTGACTGTTCATTTTGACCAAAATATATGTATATTTCCTTGAAAAATACACTGATTATGTTTTGACAAATATTCTGACTGATATTTACACTTTTATACTCTTTAATATAGAGTGCACTGCTAAATAACACCATTTGGTGTGTTTCTCTTTAAGACAATTACTTATACATTAATTGTACAATAAATATACATAACCTTTTTCATTCTCATGTGAGCAACATATTTAAAATGTTATACATAGTTATACACAGCACAAAAATAATATTTTTTTTATTTTTAAGTTTAATTTTAAGTTTTAATTTTAGAGCATTTAGATGGAATAATAATAATAATAATAATAATAATAATACATTCATAATGCATTATGGTTTTTGGAGTCATTTTTATCATGGGTTATGCATATAGGTTATGAATATTGGCACTTTTCAATCATAAAACATCTAAACATAAAAATAACATGTATCATATTGGTTCCAAACAAAAATACTTAAATGCAGCCATAAGGACCAGGACAAAATGAAATGTATAGACACATTAAGTGGGACCCCCTCATAAAAAGGCCCAGAAAAACACTGAATTTGAAGGTCGTCGTGACATTTACTTAAATCTCCTGACCAATTAAAAAACACAGAAATCAGTTTTGTAATTTTTTCAAAGAGCAGACACAACAGAATAAACCATTTGTCTGAGGAGATAACTAGGTAAAGGTTTTACCCAATTTTCACAAGCTCACTCACTATAATATTTCCTACTGTATCTTGTAAGCAAATGAAAGCAGCATAAACATGTCAATCTCGAAACAAAAGATCCAACCCTGATTACTGAACTGCAAGGTGACAGTAATATCCTTTCTCCTAACAGTTATATCAGCAAGAGATGACAACTGATGCAGAGCCAACGTCTTTAATGAAAGCACTGTCTGATGGATTACACTGTAGCCGGTCACTATGTCACACACCGTCTGTGTGTGTGTGTGTGTGTGTGTGTGTGTAAGAAGGGGACCAGGCTCATGCATAATGCAGACCACATGTGCCACTGTCATTTGTGCTAAAAATCTAGTATTTTGTGAATTAATAGTTTGATCAAGTCTGTTTCAGAGCTAAAGCAATCAAATATTGATGAGAAGAGGAGTATGATAGATGGCAACAGAAAAGATTTGCAGCTGCATTGGTGTGTATTGGTCTGTGTGTGTGTGTGTGTGTGTGAGAGAGAGAGAGAGTGTGTGCCCAGCCCACCGTCATAAGGACAGGGTGACTTTGAGCGGGATTCGCAGATGCAAACACACTGTATGTGCATTTGACAGATATACACCCACAAAACATCCCCACTGCAGAAATATAACAATAACCAGGCATCTTTTTTCAAATTCCTAATTAAATTTCCAAAATAACCACGATTAATCAACACTTCCTTGACTGTCTCTCTTGCACAGTCAGAATTGATCCACAGCACATCCAAGAACCTGCTGAGCTCCCCTACAGATGACCCTGTCATTGCCAAAAATCAAAGTTATAAATAAAACAAAGATTACTAGAGTACGTTTTACATGAAAATGCCATTTCAGTCTTTCTAACTCAAAATTTCACAATTAATTCAATGTGTTATTAGCTGTTTCTTTGTAATTAATTGTGAAATTTACTACTAGTTTCTAAGTGAAAATTCTTAAAAAAAAAATTTCACTGCATAGAAGCACCAAAAGCAGTCAGATATGCTGTCAAATGTGCAAATCTGAAATGTGCAACTCACTTAGAAACACATGTCCATCATTGACACCAGATGCATTTATAAACAAGTCTGCCAATCTCTTACCACGCAGGTGTCGAGAAACCCCTTGCACTAAGTTGAGGGATGTGCCAGACTTCTTTTTGGCAGCTATATCCTCCCATCGTCTTGGCACCTTGCCCTTGACATCCATTCCCAGAATGCCTTTGTGATCCTAAGCTCATGAAGTGCACATCCACCTGTGATGGTCAAAGGTCAACTACTCTTGACCTTCCTTTTGTGGAGCTTTTGATGTTGCTTGTCAATACAGAGGAAGACCTTCATGTACCTCTTCTTTAGGTTCCCTATCTCGCCATACGATGTGAAGTAATCAGAATGAAAATCTGTCTATGTCCCTCCAACGTAATAGAAGAAAGTGAGAATGTGTGCATGTGTGCAGCACCGGTCTCAACATCCCTCTGTCTTTACTCTCTCTGCAGGAACGATTCCTCTTGTGCCTCCAGCCAATCGCTTGTATGGGAATGTGTGATGTCATCACAGATCTGAGCGTATGACGGGAGGGGGAGTGGTGTGCGTGTATGTGTATGTGTTGTGAGTCACATAGCCTGCCGGCACGCACACTCTGTAAAGACCGAACCGGGCAAGACGTGCTCAGCACTGAAATTCCCCAAGATCAGCTGAATTCACTCTCTCCTCCTACTAAATGCATTGGATTCTAGGGTTTAGGAAAAGCTGCTGGCCTGAGCTGATTAACTTTGCCTGAAAACACTGCTCGATCTGATTTAGCGCTCCCAGCGGCTTTATAAAGCTCCTAGAACAGTCTAACAAAACAAACAGCCCTCCACTGCTAGATGCATTATTGAGATGCAACAGAGCCTTTTATGTCACATTGTGCTATAAACAAACAAGCTGTATTGCTGGGTTTGTAATATATATGAAATTAATATTTTAGAATGAAATACAGGTTGTATTTTGGCTTGAGATGCATGAAAGAAATGTTTTATAGAAGAGTGAAAACTGGCCCCAGTCCATTGTTGCAGGTTTTGAAAATAAAGATAAGCGAAAATGAAAAGCCCGGGGAAAATGATAATCTTTAAAATTATGATAGTTTCATTAATCACGGGTATAATTTTCTCCTGTATTCGTCTCCTCCCAAAAGGGTTTTTAATGATGGAAGTCATTAATATCAAATGGCATATGCTATCAGTCTCCAGTTATCTTCAATTCTCAAGCCTTGAATCTGTCCTGCAAAATCTTTCATGAAAATCTCTCTCTGACAGGTATATGCATGTATTTATTTTATATACTTATTATAAAATTTAGAATAAAGCAGTTGCAGTATATGTGTGATCTGCTACATGTATTTATATATTTTTAGTGGCTAATGTTCTCTGCTGACAGAAGATTTTACTTGGTAAGGAATTAATATATATGTGTATATATTTATTGCACTGTACATAAATATTTATATATGAGGAGCCAGCAATGCTTTGCTGTGGACGTGACTAGTCTCTGTCCATGGTCCTGAACTAAACTCTGGGTACTGCACTGAGCAAAAACCCCATCATTACTCCATCGAAACAAAAGAAAACAAGCACGGAAAACAAGAATAGCATATTTTAATACTGTAAAAGTGAGAATAAAAGATATTTATCCATATTTATATACTATACAGCCAAGTCACATTTGGAGGTGATGGCTATAGGAGCCCCTTTAGGCTAAAGAACAATCCACATGAGAAAGACAAAAGACAGCATTTTGGAAAGGCATTCATTCTCAACATGGGATTTTGAGTTATTAAAAGAAATGTTGTGTGAAGGCTGAGGGCTATTCTGGACTAAAGATCTGCAGAGGTTAGAGTACAAACAGATGCTGGGTTAGTGTGCCTAACACCTGAGGCTATCCAACTAACCTCGTGGGTCTCCCCCTCTAATGCTCGAAAAAGACATGACTCCAGTTACAGAAAGAAAGAAAGGCACTACACCACCTAGTGGTGTACTTAAGAACTCAAATATACATTGTTATATTGTTGTTGAGGCTTTAGTTTAGAGGAAGCTGTGCAGCCTCGCTAACTGTAAATGTAGCACTCTCTACCTGGTGATTTCCCAAGAGACATTCTTATTCTATGCTTGGCAATGAATTTCCTTTTTGTTATTTATGAATGTACAAATAATAATTGACTAAAGCTGTGCCTCTTAAATCAGATTTGCGGTATTCATTTTTTTAATTGAACTTCTATTTTTAAATTTGAACAGGATGCAAGTTTAATTCTTAAGTTATTCAAATGAACTGAAATTAAAAAGTTTCTCAAGACAAAGAAAGTTTGTCAAGATAAACTTTGAATGATCATTGTTTATACGACTTACAGTCAAATTCTCGTTATTTTATTATATCAGTGTATTTCATGAATTAACTTAGCGGAAGAACATTTTTTTATAACCTGCTGAATTTATTTACATTCCACTTCCTGTATATTGTGAATTCCACTCAAATTCCAAAACACTGAGTTGAAAGAGAGTTTAAAATCTGAATTTCACACAATCACTTACCACACTTACAATCACAGGTTTCAAAATATATCTGTGGATCTCCATTTGACTCCTAAAAACACCTACTTTTAAATGTATATGAATTACCTATTTTAATGATGTAAAACTCCCCTAATCCTAAACTGTTCTATTCCATCACATGTATAGTGAATCAAGTCTCTCTTTTCCATTAATGCCCAATTCCACCCATCACTACAGCAACAACTCTTTCTACACATATGGCCATTATTTATATCTCTGACCGGTGAGTGTGGCTATTAGCACTTCACTCTCACTGTAAACGGAAGTCTTGAGAGCGTCTCCCTCCCGCGCTTATCCATTCAGACATGTGAATCTTTCAAATGCGAATAATTCTACATCGGCTCCAATCCCTAATGCTGCCAAATTAGCATTACTAATTACAGTCCAAAGACACAAATGATTTTATGAATAACTCAAGATGATTATTATAACGGGAACTTCCTCTCCTGTGGTTTCAGACAATTTGTGCTCTTGACAAGACAGATGTGTACACAATACACCTCAAATTTGGACAGTGTCTAGACGTATTCAGTGAAATAAAGAAAAATCACTTCAAAAGTCAATCACTTTTTCAAGGCTTAGCAAATTTACTTCATTCAGGTTTTAACATTTATTTTAATACAGACTTGAATATTTCAAGTCAATTGATTTGAGCTTATTTTATTTTTATATTAAGTCAAGTGCTTTTATCCTGACTGTTCAGAAAATAAATAAAAATACAACAAATAAACAAATAAAATAATTTAAACAAAATCAAGACTGTGATATAGTGCTTTAGTGGCCACTATCTCTCAGCGGATGCCAATCATGCTTTCTGAAGAGTATTATAAGATCTCCTGTTGGCTTGTGAAATGAAATGATGTTGTGGTCAGGAACAGGGCAGAAGTAGGTCAGACAGTCTAAGCTTTTCATCCACTTTGAGAAATTCTGAAGCATCCCCACTTATACTACCCACATCATGTGGTAGATAAAAAAACAATTCTGTCTTATTGTACATATTCAATGTACAATAAGACACATTCTGTCTTATTGCACATTACAATATAATTCAGACACACTGATTAAGTATAGAGGCTCAGTATTTGCATACTCAGGTTATCAAAAGAGCCCACATTCTGTCTTAGATTACACTGAAGCAATCAAAGGTGTACTCACATGCCACAAATCAGGCAACAGTGCAGATTTGATCTACTTCAGAAGGTGAACTTATGCCCAGCTGACCTTCAGTATTTGACGCAGCTTGCTAGAGGCAAAGTGTCACATTGGCTTTTAGTGACCAGTTGTGATACTGACCGAATAAAGCAGCCAACGTCAACCTGCTCCTGAAAGATCAGACAGTCACATATTATGAGGATTCTTGCTCTGTCTGCAGGCTATTGTAAGTGTCACGGCTGTTTCTACTAGCTAAATGAGAAGTAAAGCACAATCTAACAGCACATCTAATCAGTTAATGTCTGTGTTGGTCACACACAAGTGCCAATGCAATATCACCGTCACCGGCAATCAACCAGTCCCTCATCCCAGAATGGCCATAACCCATAGCAGCTGCAAAGAGAACACTCAGGAGCGCCCTTGAACCTAAAACAAGTGGTATGCCCCAGCAATCACAAGCCCACTACCATTTAAATGTTTGGGGTCAGTAACATACATTTTAATGTTTTTGAAGGAAGGAAGTCTCTAATGCTCACTAAGACTGCATTTATTTGATCAAAAACCATAAAAACAATAATATTGTGAAATATTATTACAATTTAAATAACTGTTTTCTGATTTAATATTTGTTTAAATATAATAAATTCCTGTGCTGGCAAAGCTGAATTTTCAGCAACATTACTACAGTCTTCAGTGTCACATGATCTTTCAGAAATTATTCTATGCTGATTTGGATCTCAAGAACACTTCTATTATTATCAATGTTAAAAACAGTTGTGTTGCTTAATATTTGGTGGAAACCCTTTTTTTTTTTTAGGATTCTTTGAAAGTTCAAAACAACAGCATTTATATGAAACAGAAATATTTCCTAACCTTATGTGTTTACTGACACTTTTAATCAATATAATGCATTCTAGCTCAATGAAAGTATTCATTTCATTAAAAAAAAATGTTTCTCACTCCAAATTTTTGAACAGTAGTTTACATACCAAGTACTATTTGGGTTAATTTTGAGATATTTTGACTGTCATACTAAACACCCCCCTCCCACACACAATTCTCTTTGTGTGATCAGAAATTACTCTATACATCAAAATGAGATAATGTCATTCTCTTTCCTTAGCTCTCATACAGATTCACACTTGACCACAAAAAGGCTCTGGCTCTAGTAAGGCTGTTTTTTGTTTTGTTTTTTAGCGGAACAGCGATCATCATGTGCTCATGTCTAATGGACATGTCAATGGACCTTGTATTGTATGGTTGCCACCTCAGTGATTGTGATCCATCACTCTGACTGGCAGCTGAGTCAAGATTACAATGTCATTGGTAACAACAGGTTCCTGAGAGCTTTCAGGAAAAGACAAGTAGGGACCAAAAGCTTAATCTCTGTATAGTATAATTAACATAATTATTTTTAGACATTCTTAAACACGTTAATGGGTTTTTTTTTGCATAAAAACACTGATCATTTATTTTCAAATAGCCATTTACCTGAAAGCTTCAGTCCAAGTTCATTGCAATTGCATGGAAAATTGCAACTGGCACATTCCTCAGAATTTCTCCTTTTGTGTTCCACAGAATAAAGAGTTGTACAGGTTTGGAACAATATGAGGGTGAGTACATATTGACAAAAATTCATTTTTGGGTGATCTATGTCTTTAATTTGATTGCACACAGCATCTGTTTTGTTCTTTGCTGACCTACAGCACCTTGTTTTGTGTTTGCACCTCTAT